TATATATATATATATTACATTTCTTTGCAAGGCATCTTCTTGTAATAAACTCCATCAGTAGCATATGGGCAACCATGGGGCGTTAAAACAAACCCCCTCCGGCATCGTGGGCGTGGTCTAGACGGATCAATCTAGAAAAAAGACGCGCTCTGATTAATCGAGGAGTGAAGGGTGGGGGTAATAGTGTAATTAAATGATGTGTTCTGGTTGGTTCGCCTTTTACTTGACAAAGATCTGATTGTTTCGCACCGTACCTGCCCATAAGGTGATTGGTGAAGGGGGATGGTAGAGGACCTCAGACAAAATAGAGAGTAAAGTCTGAAAAAATGGTAAGCGGAGATTGAGACTATAACATTTTTTGTCGCGAAGGTAGATTACGAACACCGGGCATGAATAGCGGGCGATTTTATGACGGTCATTTTTTTTGTTCACAGTGTCTTCGACGTGTTGACGTTTTAGTGAATGTTTTTTTATTTATGAGAGATGAGATCTTATACGAAAATTTGCGAATCTAGAATAGTCTTACTTTTGCTAGGAAGAATGGAGGAAATAAAACAGGAATGAACATGTTCAATTGTCGCGCCGCATAGTCTTTGATGTGACAACTCACTTGTTCGAGCGAGAGTATGATTTTTATGATGTAGGACAAGAATTTTATGAATTTGTATTGTACTTCTTGTACTTTATTTAAAAGTCTATATTATATTATATATAATATATAACACGAAAATTTGCAGAGAAAAAAGTTAGTTATTGGAAGGTACAAGTGATTAAGAAACGAGGGTTTATATTATATAAAAATGTATTTATTGAAAAAATTCTTTTTTTCAAAGAAGAAGAAATACATAGTTCGCATGAGAATAAACTAAAAAAAAGTTTTTAGAAAAATTAAGCCGAAGATTCTTGCTTCAAGAGAATTATATGAAAAATTTTGTTATTTAACGAAGTTAATTCCACAAGTATTATATTATGTGAAATACATGTCAAGAAAAGTTAAGTCGTTAATTTGTGTACGTTACGCTCTACATCTTCATAATTATCTCGCAATGTTAATTTTATAATTTTCTGATTAATAAAACTTGCAGGTAATTTCAGTTCATCAAATATAAAGCACGCTTGTAAACATTATCGGATAAAGATTCTAATTCTTTTAAATGCGCATCGACGCACTTTACAATGCTTTTCAGTCCGAGGACGGTAATTTTTTTGCATTATAATTGCTGCTACATAGGTTTTCCGTCGGTGGAGTTGAATCAATCGCGTTCTGTTCTTTTCGAAGATTTCCGTTGAAATTTTCTTCTTCTTCTTTATACACTAGCAATATTGATTTTGCCCCATAAGATATAGTAAAGCTGATGGAGATTATTTTTTATAACAACAAAGTTAGGTTTCACTCTATTATCGCTGCTTAAATGCTCATTCATGAGTCCCATGTGATCTTAAAACTGTTGCCAGCAGTCAGTGTCGAAATAAATTTCGTCCGCGTTATGTCCGCTCAATTTTACAAGAGGTTTGAAGATTCCTTCATTCATTCTTTGCATTACGTGAATTATCTTCGTATGAGAATTGTTAAGACCATACATTTTTGCTAACAACATATGAAATCGAGCGTTTCTTCTCTCATCGTCGTCGTTATGTATCTTGAAAGAATCGGGGATGGTACATTCCCATGTCTGAATTATTAGAATTTTTTGGACTGGCCATTGTTCTTACGACGTAGTAATATCAAATTCAAGTGAACCAAGATGGCAATCAAAACACAAGAAGCATAGTACTTGTTTGCTCGCGAAGTTGAAGCTGCGGACGACAAAACTTTAATGAAACGGATTTTCGATAGTACCGTCGACATTGCCTCCCTCTCCGACGCTACGTAATAAAATTATTTTGCGCGCGCAGATAAAAAAAATGAAAAACATAAACCTTCTCTAAATTTTTCTTAAAAATTTAAAATAATCTATACTCCATAGAAGTCAGGAGGGAAGAGAAGCGAAATAAAACGAGAACAAACAGGACATTTTATTCCTCTCTTCTTGTTTTTTTATAACATGACAGAAAGGAATTTGACTAACCGAAAAGAAAAACATTTTTCCCAATAAACCTTAAAGAAAAAAGAATTGGTTTAGCTCACGAATAGAATTTCTAACGAATAAGAATTAGTACATCAATAACCATCGAGTTTTTTTTCAAAAAAACAAGAAGAAATTTTTGAAGCGTCTTCGATTTAAAGTAAACTTACGATTGGGTTTATTGCTTTTTTAGAAAATTCATTAATGTTTAAAGTGACAAAGGTGCGACAAAAAAAATGTTGAATTGAGTTGGGTAATGATAATATAGAAAAATGTATTCGTCCTTCCTTTTTTCTGAAACTTTTGTGTATACTCCTAAGAGAAAAAATAACGTGTAGTATACGCAAATTTATAGAATACAAAAATTAAATATTAGTTATATTGATAAACGTGAGGAAAGTTTTAAACGAAGGAGGTTATGTTCAATATTCGCCATGATTTTTTTTTCATGACGAGACAAATCCTGAAGAAGGGAAAAGTAACAAAAACCAAGTGATATTGCCGGTCAAACGAGATACAAGAATTTCCATTAAAATTATATTTTTTCTTTTACTGAAAGGTTTAATGTTTATCAGTCGTAGACTAATATTGCGTGAGAATCCTTTCAAGTAAGAAGACAATACCAAAAAAAACAGAAGGAAAAATTTAAAACGTGAGAATCACCCTAATAATAAGAATTTTATAGTGTGACAAAAACTTTTCTGGATGATAATGAAAACGAGAGCTAAAGATTTTATATAGATATAAAGGGAGCGATGCTTTTCTAGATAATTTTTATGGGAGAGAAACGGAGCTAGATCAGATATGGGGATAGTCATAACTAGGAAGTTTTTGTCATCTCCTACTTCTCTAAATTTTACGAGAAAATCACTTTTAATAAAGGAAGCGACCAACTACCAAAATTGTCAAAGATCTAAGCCAATGAAGGAACTAGAAATTTTTAGCGATTCTTTTCGAGAAGAGGAATTTTATGAATATCGCTAGAAGCATTGATCAAGTTAAAATTTAGTCCTGCGTTCAGACTCTGAAGTGGATTGATTTTACGCCAACTATTTGCGCGTCGTTTTTAATTTCATATTTAAAAAATGGAACTTCGCAAGTTACTCACCAAATTTTTCATCGTTGCTAGCAACTTGAATAAAAAGTTAGTTACTGCCGATTATCTGAAACAAAGTTGTCAAATAATGTAAAAAAATTATTCCGTTTTCAAAAATGTTATGGGTGAATGCTCCAGCACATTAGTGTGCATTATGCACAAACCGGCGCATTGCGGTGGTGACGAGAGACTGAAAAATATAATCGTTCGTCATAGAAATACACGAGTGTTTTGGTCATGAGGAGGATAACGCTCAGGTCACATAGCTGACTTTAAGCGACGCACTAAACTAAGAGATAAGCAGTAATAATTAGTCTCAAATAAAATCTAATATTAATATTAAAAGTTTACTTTATAATTAAATTATAATATTTATTTCATAAAAACGAACTGTATTATATATAGGATGACCGATACTGCATTGCAGGGGGTATCCAGTAGAACTTAGTTTAAGGCGACGTCGCCCTATGAGAGAAGAAGAGGAGGAATACCAGCGAATAAGTTTGGGAAAATAAATTACCTAAATATTTATAGAAATCTCGATTGTTAAAATATTTTATTTTTTTCTAGGAAGAGTACGAATTGAAGCGGAAAATAATGTTTCGCCTCCGCGTGACATCGTAATTGGTAAGTATTTTACAAATAACCGAGAAATCTAGTTCATATAATATAGATGTAATGCGATAAAGAATAAAATCAATTTTGTTTTAGATAATGAGGATGATGATGATGATGACGACAACAATGATCGGAATGATGCTTTGAGTCCGTCTGATTCGATTCGAGCACTGGTCTCTCCAAGTTTCCATAACGTGTAAATTATTTTCAAAAAATAAGTTAGTCGAATATAGAGAGTTAATATACGAGGTCTGTTCAAAAAGTATCGCGAATTTTGAATTTCCGCGGGTTACGTATATTCGATTTTCGATTTTTTGTGGCGTTATGTTGGTACTCATGTCTCTCACTTATGCCGACAAGTTCGGCCATTTTGAATGTTCAGTTAATTTTTGACAGCTGCTTTGCTTGCACGTGTTTTGGCTCGTCTTCGATTTTTGCCTATTCCAAAAAATGGATCAAAGAATCTGTATCAAATTTTGTGTGAAAAACAAAATTAAGTGCGCGGACGCATTCCGAATGTTGACTGTGGCATATGGTGAAGCTACCTTGGACCGAAGCAACGTTTATCGGTGGTACAAAATGTTCTCAGAGGGCCGAGAAGATGTGAACGACGAAGAGCGTGCCGGACGCCCGAGCACGTCAACAACAGACGAAAACATTGATGAAGTGAAGAAAATAGTATTGGCGAATCGTCGAATCACCGTTAGAGAGGTTGCTGAGGACCTAAACATATCGATTGGCTCGTGCCATTCGATTTTTACCAATGATTTGGGCATGAGACGGGTCGCCGCGAAATTCGTACCAAAATTGCTCAATTTCGACCAAAAACAGCATCGCATTAACATTGCTAAGGAACTGTTGGACTCTGTCCGCGACGACCCAAATTTGCTCCAGAGGGTCATAACTGGTGACGAATCATGGGTTTATGGTTATGACGTGGAAACCAAAGCTCAATCATCCCAATGGAAGCTGCCGCATGAGCCATAAAGCTATAAAGACGGCATCGAAGGAGGAGCTGAACAAGATCACAAAAAATAATTTTTTGAAGTGCTTCGAGGATTGGAAAAAACGTTGGCACAAGTGTATAATATCTGATGGGGATTACTTTGAAGAGGACAAACTAGATATTCATGAATAAATAAGTAATTTTTGAAAAAACACAAAATTCGCGATACTTTTTGAACAGATCTCGTATATAGAGTTTAAAAATAATAATAATAACAAAAATTACTTTTTAGTGCAGGAAATCGAACAAGAGCGGGAGGAACAAACGCAGAAAGAAGATATAGAGTCTGAAGAGGAGGAGAAGGAGGAGGAGGAGGAGGATAATGAGAACATTGACGATGACAATGTCGATAATGGTGATGATACCGATGATAATGCTACTGATAATAAGGAGCAGAACAACACAAATGTTGAGAATAGCCTTGATGACAACGGCGATGATGGGGAGCAGGAGAAAATACGTAATAAGGAAGAAATAATTCAGGAAGCAATGGAGGAAGAAAAAAATAGATATTACGCACCTCTTGAAAATGAAGGTAATAATATTTTTACTTTTTGTTACGATTATAAATATGTATGTATACTTTTCGGCTTTTAGTTCAAGCACGTGGACGAGACGTGCCACCGCGTGTTATTTGTTTCGCGCATGCGCGTCGCCTTTCTGCCCGACGTGGCAACCGATGCCGGTCGCAGTTCACTGGCAGTTTTTCGTTTGTTCTACCGCCCGTCGCGAGTTCACGCGACGAATGCGTTCTTTTCTCATTGTACACGTTTGTTTCATATCTAAGTATAATAAAGTTTCTTTTCTCTCACTCACCACATGTTATTTCAATAATAACTCACAACACTTTTTATTGTAAATTTATTTGTTGCTCGAGATACTTAAGCAGATATTTTTATCAGATATTTCGTACTTCCCTGTTCTGCCTATGTCACCGGAATATTAAAATTTACAAAAAAGAAAAACATTATCCTCCCAGGCACGATCAAGTAAACAGCTGTAGGTGAGTTATCTTGCCATGCAGTAATGTTACAACTAGTACTATAAGTTTCTGACATAATATATATAGCAATGTTATCAGATTAATAAGGTTTATTTAACTTTTTTTTACAGTACAAACTGGCGGTGCTGATCATCCTACATCGCGACATACAAGGGAAGAAAACGCGCCCTTAGAAGAAGAATTCTCGCAAAATTTCGAGAATTCCATCAATGATGAACAGCAGCAGCAGCAGTAGCAACAACGGCAACAGGCGTCATCATCAGGAGGAAAATAATCATCACAGGCAGAATTGTTATCATCAACAGGAGATTAGAGATAACTTCGCTTTCATTGAGTTAAGGGCGGAAAACTCGCGTCGGTTTAGAAATTTTCGATATTAGGGAAGAAAGCAACTTTCGATACGTCCGCCACCCGAAGGTACTGATACCGTTCATTGGATAGAAAGTGCGTTCCGTAAAATTTGGGCGTATGCGTTACATTCGTGTGAACCAAACGATTACGTAGGATTATCGTTCGAGTCGGCGGATCTAGCATGTGGTACGGCAGGTCTATCGTTTCGTCCAGCACGCGACTTAACTCACGAGGACATATGGCAACTCGTGAGTTCGCTGACGCAAAGTGATGGAAGATTCGATATCGCAGAAAATTTTACCGTGCACGTTTTCAAAGTCTCAGTACCTGCCGGTTGCGGGCGTCAATTTAATCGATTAACTCGCGAAGATAGCCAAACGCTCAATTTTGCAAATAAATAATACCGACAATTTGTATTTTCCTCGTTTGCTCGTAGTACATCAAGAGCATGGGCAACTCCGTACGGGGGAACTGCAAGAAAGATGGGAATTCGTGAGATACCAGCGTTCTTTGTTACAGCATAAGTTGGCCGAAGAATTAATAAAATTCGCTGGTATCACGATTTCCGAGGAAGGTTATGGAATTAGCGAAATCGAGCAATTTCAACGGATTCTCGTTTCCGAAAATATTGCAATTAGGATATATAATTTCAGTACTTTCGATCGAGTCAAGAATCCAATGTATGAGGGCTGCGCGGTACTTTCCTCCCTAGGTCGCGAACCCTCGTGTTGTTTAAATATACTATATTACGAGAGTTCGCGACATTGTAATCCTATATTAAATTTAAAAGCCGCCGCCGGTTCTTGCGGAGGATATTGCATAGCGTACAACGTGGGCTTTCGTAACGACAGAGATCATCGATGCACAAAAAAAAATGTCCACGCTGCTACGCCATCCCGTCTTGCGAGCGTCCAGACGTTGAGTTGATTAAATGCGATTCGTTCGTTCGCGTCTTCTTCGGGCGTCCGTGTTTCGAACGTCATCAAGCGTAGGGATCATATAATCAATCCCTCTCAAGCGTTTTTAAATCCATTAAAATTTGCAATGGCTGCGGGCGATTGGTTAATTCAAAATCGCGACACGAAATCGCGATTGCGACGTAGTTTATTGCAAAACTTGTTATTCGTTACTGTTACGTACAAACTCCGGAAAAATGGATCTAAAGAGAGAAGGGAGTAGAAAGGATAGTGTGGAAGGATGATCAGACTCTTGTCTCGCAGGTATCCGCCCAGAAGCAAACACTACGAGTCGAACGCATCCCTTTTATTGCTCGCTTTGGAATATGGATGAACGTCTCGTAAAGACGCTATGACACCTGTTTCCTACGAGCGGTGCGATCGTCGGTCCGAATTTCGAGTCAGGGAAATCCCTTTAATTCAGGAATGGACCACGTGCAAGCTTGTTAGGGCAAGGTTTTAATGAATACGGGATTTAATGGAGGGTTTCATAAGTGAATGAAAAGAATAATTGCTAACAATATTTATTTTTATGTATTATATTTACTAACATTATTTATTTTTATGTATTATATTTACTAATATTATTTATTTTTATGTTGGTTATCAAAATGACGCGAATAACAGACGGTTATAAAACAATCAGCGGATTTATTATAATTACTCTATACATTTTAATCTATTACAGAAATACCACAACAGTCTATTCGGTAACGGGCATACGCTTTATGTATATCGAGTAGTCGGGAGAGTCGGATGGGATTTGATCAATCTATTTCGTGGATGGAAACGGAGGAAGGAGGGAAAAGATTATAAAAGAATCCTACTGGAATTAGGAATGGATTGGCGGAATTCGGGAGGAATACTAGGATACAGGACGTAGAGGTTTGGCCGGTGATGGATTTCTTCAGGATCAAAATAATGAGGGCCGATTCTGTAGGCCCCCTGAGGGATGGGTGCGGTAGTAGAGCGGGAATTAGGTGATGAGTGACTCGAAAGTGTCACTCTCTAGGATGCGGAAGTAGGATCTAGGTGGGGGCGGAGGAATTTCTTTTAAGAACTCCACGCTGTCTGTGGAGTTCGTCGGGGACAAACTTCCTCTGGGGGAAATTGGGATCGACGAATCGAAGGATTGTGGAGGAGTATTTGGAAAGATTCTCTCCGTCAGTGCGTCCGAGAACGACGGAGATGGAAGGGGAGGCGAAGGAGTTTGCAGGGGAGGTGAAGGTGTTTGAGGGGGAGGAGGTATAACCTCAGACTGATTAGCCGGCAGAGCCGGTGGTGACGAGGATGGTGGTGGTAGTGAGTGGTCCTCGGCCGGACGACCCTGTTCTTGTGAACCCCCAAGGTATTTCTTGAACTCCTCGTCCAAGAATCTCCATGCCTCCCGGTAGGCCCGGCTTCTGAGCCACCCCTTGTAAGGACGGTTCAGACACAGCACTATAATTTAGTATAAATTATAGAGCATGGTTCTTATATACACATATATATATATATATATATATATATACATGTGTGTGTGCGTGTGTATGTGTGTATGGGGGGGGGGGGGTGAATGGGACTTACTGTTGTTCTGCAGATGTGGATGGATCTAACGGCCGAAATCGTTGGTCCCAGCACTTACGGAGGGTTGCCGCACGGATGTGGAGACTTCGGTCGAGTCGCACAGTACGATTACGTTTCACTTGATTTTTCGCGACTCAGCACTTTTGCTGGGAGACCGGTAAAGTATGTATAACCCGGTAAAATATGTTTACTGATCGTGGCTACGGACCGGCAGAATAACGTTTGATTTGAAGGTGTGAATATGACAGTGGTTTCTCGTGGAGGGCCTCTTTTATATTGGTGAGTTAGTGGTGCCGAGTGCAGAGCACACGTGTGCTGTTGGCCTAATCTAGGATTAGGATTAGGGATATCGGTTGTGAAATGGTATACAGAGGTATGTGTCTAAGACAACGTTCGTTATCGACCATTTGCCGAATGTCCAATAGTTTAGAACATGACATGTGTCATTTATTGCAGACAACTGCTGTTTTATAATTCTAATCTATTTATTCTTCCCGTTCCTCGGGATAAGGTTCGCCTATTTGGCACTTGGTTCAAATATCTAATCCAACGACTCTGTTCCGAGTGGATTATTAGTTCGAAATGTTATTCGGCTCGTCGCTATTGTAACAGATAGTATTACTTATTAATCATTTTTATGGTGATGACGAAAATTTTTAGTCGAAGAAAAGAACTGTGGAGTCTGGACGTAACATTATAGTCTTCAAATCATTTGTATTACATGCGGCCTCTTTGTCGTAAAGCCTCAGTAGAAAACCCCGGAGAGGGTACAAATACTATAACATCGTGAGAAGAAAATCTGCAAACAAATACAAATGACGTCGAAGGCACGGACGAGCATGTTAAAAGAGATCGCATTCGTGTTTTATGATTTCGAAACGCAACAAGACGAGACACTCGAAGGAACGGAGAACGTAAGAACTTACGTTCCAACTCTCTGCGTCGTGCAACAAATTTGTGAAGCGTGCGGGAATAGAGGCAATGTCATTGCGATGTCGTTGGTGTGGAGTGCGCGAATTCATATTTAATAGAGATCCTGTAAAAGAGTTCGTCGATTTCGCGACGCAAACATCTAAATATTTTTATAAAATCATCTGTATCGCGCATAATGCTAAAGCATTTGACGCTCAGTTTATTTTAAAGTATCTCGTTGAAAAGTCAGGAACAACGGAAGAACCTCGGGTGATTTTAAACGGGAAGAAAATTATTGTTATAACGATTGGTCGTACAAAATTTTGATAGTTCAAATTATATACCTATGCATTTATACGATTTACCTAAGGCTTTCGGACTGCAGGATATTTTGGGTAAAGTTTTTTTCCTCATTTGTTTAATACGCTGCAAAATCAAAATTATATTGGACCAATACGTTCGATATTATTCGCCCGAAATAAAATCCGAAGAACACGAGCATTTTATGGTTTGGCACGAGGAAATGTCGCGTTTAAATTTCGTTTTTTGATTTCAAACAAGAAATAATAAAATATTGTCCGAATGATGTAGATATCCTTCGACGTGCGTGCATGGCGGTCAGAAAAATCTTTTTAGAACGTGGAGACATGTATCCGTTCGTAAAATGCACGACTATAGCTTCCACGTATATTTTCGCAAAAACTTCTTACGCGAGGAAAAAATAGGAATCATTCCACCGGGCGGATATAGATATAAAGACAATCACTCGCTCAAAGCACTATAGTGATTAGTGTAAATGGAACGTGAGCTCGGACATCTTATAATCTATACAGGGCGAGGCCGCGAGTAATCGAATTGCCGCCCGTCGACGGATATTAGGAAGTCGAATCAGCGAACGAGATGTTACATGTTACATTTTTGTTTTTGGCACAGTTGTCCCAACTGTTACCAAATTAATCGTGAAAGAAAACTTATGTCCAGGGCGTCACGCAAAAATACAATCGACGCTCGATACGAACGAACTCTCGCAATGACATGACATCTTCGACAACGTGGATATAGAGTAATGGAGAAATGGAAGTGTGAATTAGCACGAAAAAAAACGCCAGAATCACGAAATGCACGATTTTCTCAAAAACCATCCGATGTTAATCAATCCTCCTCTCGACCTTCGCGAGACATTCTTTGGTGGCCGTACGGAAAATATCGTAATCCGATACAAAGTTACGGGTACAGAGAAAATACATTATGTGGACGTGTGTTGTCTGTATTGAAAACGGTACTTTTCCGTTAGGCCAACCTACGATTTACATATATCGGAAAACAATATTCGAAATTAATTGACGTAGCTCCAAATTTTAATTTTGATTCTGTCGAGGGTATCAGTCGGTGCACAGTATTTCCTCCACGCGATCTCTTTCACCCTACTCCCGTACCGCGTACAAGGCAA